GCCGTCTCCTCCATCCCTCTCTCTCTCATCTTTTTCGCTCCCCGCGGATCCCAGAGTGCATCCAATTTAATTAATCAACGCCGTATGGCGACAATAGACGCCTGGCAGAGTGCTTTTCGTGGTATTCGCCAAGAACGGCACCTGTCAGAGCGACGGGGAAGCAGGGCCGGCGTGGCGGGGCGTGGCGGGGCGTGGCGGGGCGTGGCGGGGCGTGGCGGGGCCACCAGCCCTAGGTCCATTTGCATGCCGTGCCCACACTGAGTGCCCACACCAACTGCATATAGATGGCCGGCGCGATCCGCCCGTCCAGTCCATCCCCGCGAAATGCGAGAGACCTGTTTTGCCAATCCGTCTTGGTTGGCGTCTGCTGCCCGTGCCGAGCGTGCCCGCGCAGCACTGACACAAAATTTCGGTCGGGCCGTAATTTAAATTGTGATACCCACCATCGAACGGTGTTCGATCCGCCTGGTTTAGTCATGGGCAACGCCATTTTATAGACTGTAACCGAAAGTTATTTAGCTTATGTTTTGCTGCCCACAACTGACCCGGAATGATTTTTTGTTTTATTTCTCTACGGGTTCATCGAAACATTTCTCTCGGTGTGTGCTCTGCTCGCGCCCGCCGATACTGCTGTGCTGGCTGAGCGCGCGACACGGGGCTGCAAATGCTCGTTTCGGCACGTCGCACCAAAGTAGCTTGATCGCGCGCCGCCTCCGCTCCCCCCTCGGCGCCGGGCCGTCATTCGCGGCCAAAAGGCCCGCAGTCAGCGAATATCCGATTGGCTCGTTATGAGGATTTGAAGGAAAGTGGTTTCGCTTCGCCTCGCCCGCCCGGCCGGCCGCCTTGTGCCTCGCGCTCTGCCCTCTCCTCGCCTCTCGGCCGGGTTGAGCCCGGAGTGCCGGGCCCATCTCCCTAACGACAAATGCAAAAAGTTATCCCTGACTCGCCGGGCCTCGCCACCACCGCTCCGTGCGGTCTCTGTACTTTTCTCTCTTTCCCAATTTAATGTGCATTTCTCTGCAGTCGTGCCCCGTTTCCAGAACGATAAATAATGTTGAACTTGAGATAGTCTCTCTCTCCCTTTTCGTTCCCCCAGCCAGCCAGCCAACCAACCCCTGGAGCCGACGTCTTCTCTCTCCGTCCTGCTGCTCTCCCCGTCGCTTTCATCCATTCTTAAGCGCGCCCCTCCCCCTGCCTCTCTACCTTTCCCTCCTTGTAATCCTCCTGGAAACCCTTCCTCCCTGGACCGCATCCCGGCACTGGCTGGCCACTTTTTCATACCGCCCTCCTCCGCTGGCCCTGCCCTGTGTCACCTCGGCTGGGCCGCCCTGCAATTCGATTCTGCCAGTTTCATTCCGGTCAAGTGAAACCCTCCTCACCCCCTCCTCACCATCTTTCTCTCTCTCTTTCTTCCTCCCTCCCAGGCCCTCCCCGCCTCCAACCCTCTTGATGGATGGGCCCTGTGGGTCAACGGACCCCATCGCTCCGCATGGCTCCGCATGGCTCCGCATGGCTCCGCTGTCCCAATGCTTTTATACTATGTCCCCCGCATTGAGTATTTCCATTCTATTGTCGCATTCTCGCGAGTTTTGAGAGCATTGCAACAACTTCGATTGCAACTTATTTGTTCCCTTCGAAATCATCGGCTCATACGTCGCTTGGGCCGCTTTCCGTCCCCGATTTTCGCCGAGGTGCAATCGTCCCGACCACGGCTTGGAATATTCTTTACCGATCCGATCCGCCACGCTGCGCGCTCTCGCTCGGCTCTCGTCCACTCTTCCGGTCTCCCCTCCATCCAGAATCCCTTGTACGCCAGGATGATCGTGGACCACTTCCGACGCACATTTCTGCGTTCCGGTCCCTGTGTGTGTCTATGCGCCCTCCCCTCCCACCCCTCCGTGGCTACTCAGCCTTAGTTAAACCACCGCAGTGGGCCGCTGGGCCCGGCGGCCCTCTGTGCTGTGCGCCCCCAGCCCTCCGTGGCATTTGCCGGCAGGCCGGGCCAAGCTTTACGGACCATCGCCACAACCAACAATGAGAGTGGCCCAGTCTCAATACACCAGGCATTGAGGGCCATTGGCCAGGGCCGAACCGAAGCAAGCGGGGCGCCAGCCTGCCTCGGCGAGGGAGGGAAAAACTAAGACATTGAACGAGGCCATTCGGGCCCTGGTCACGCCCCTTGTCTTCTTCGCATGTCCCTTCCCCCTACGGCACTCTCTCACTCTGTCTCCCTCGCGCACTTTTCCCTCCGTCTCCTCCTTTTTTTTCCTTTTTCTTTTCTGTCGCTTTAATAAGTCGACGACTGCGAAACGCTATGACGATAGCGATGGCTTTCAATTAGTTTGTCCACGAGGCAGACGAAATGTAAATCAGGCTGCTGCTGCAAAGCAGACGGAGCACGGTCATGGTAGTGGTGCTGATGGTGATAGTAGTGAGTAGTGTTGCTAATGATGATGGTGATGATGGTGTAGTCTTGGTGTGCCGCGTGTCGGACCATGCCGGACGCAGGACAGGGATGTGACCGTTGACATGTAGTCTTTTCTCCGCACGCAGGTCCTAGCGGCGCGTACAGTCCGGACGGCTCCATGGGCTACATGATGGACGGCCACGCGGGCATGATGCACCGGCCGCCGGGTGACCCCGCCTTTCACTCGGAGTACCAGTACCCGCCACAATACTACGGTCACCACCTGTAGTTGTAAGTATTTTTTTTTTCTACACTCTTTCCTCTTCTTGTGCATGTGTTTTCCTTGTGTTCCAGTGTCACAGAAATTATTTACTCACGGAAAGGCTTGCCTGAAAAATCCTACTTGTAAAGTATCTGAACGATTTCTTTCGTATCACAGTCACAGCCACACAGTCCCAATGAGTGAGGCTCACTAACTGGGGTCGCAGGTAGAATTTTTACTAACAAAAAGTTCAGACTATCGTTTTTCAAGTTCGATTTCCCTTTTGTTTAATGGTTTTCTTACTACAGTATTTGGCCAGCTCTTATAAAAGTATTCATGAAAAAGAGAACGGATGCTCTTCCTTTCCCTTTGAATCAATTTCAGACAGCGTTCCGTTCATCTCATGTTCCCCGCACGTAGTTTGACAACAGCAGCTATACGACAAGGTCAGCCGCAACTGCATTCCGCGATTTTTACGGGGCGAATTCGAATGACGTGTTGATGAAGCGCTATCCCCGCCGAGCTGCTGGCGCGGGGAGTGGGTAATTGATGCACTGCTTATCACTGTGGGAGCCTCCTTATCCGTGACTTTACGGCGCCCGCAGGCAGCCGGGCGGGCCGCGCCGCCGCCGCCGTTCTTCTTTACATTATGTGACAAACAAACTTAAATTAGCCCCGTGCGCTGCGGCGCGGCCGGGCGGGTCTGTCTCTTGCCATGCCGGTCCGGTATCGACCCGGCGGCGCGACGCTCTGATGAGAGTGGATGATGCTGAGGGAGCGGCTTCCAATCATGGGGCGGCCGGGCCGGACGGGAGGGACACATACACTGGCTGCTGTCCTCTTCTTTATTTTTCGCCCTCCCCCTTCCTCCCCCCTAAATGACGGTCGCGATGGGTTTTATGTCGTTTTTACGCGGCGTTTTGGTCGTGTCGTCCGTGGAGTTTTACGCGCCGTGTGTTGTGCCGTACTTGGTAGTTTATTTTGATGAATCTGCGGGCGCCGTATTCGCGCGGCCGTGTCGAGACGCTCAAGGATGTGGCGGCCGCGGCCCCGCTGCTTTGGCCCGGGGTCCTTGCCCTGTTTTGGCACGCATCGCGACCCGTCGCCTGGGTCCCCCGTGTGCTTGTCCAGCCTGATATCCGATCCTCTCGCTCGGTTTGGGCCGCGCCGTGGCTGCGCTCTGATCGTATCTACTGACTCATTACGGCAACACGAGTCGGGGGGGGGCTGCCCACAGCACAGCCTCGCAAGGAGGCATGCTTCGTTTGTCTTGAGTGCGCGATAAATTTGTTCAAGTGAGCAGCCGTCGAAATAGGACACCTCGCCGCAATATCATGCTCATCTCCTTTTGTTTTTCTCTTTCTCCTCTGCCCAGCCCACTCGGCCCCGCGAGAGCCCCGACTGACGGAGCGATGAGGGTGTGTGTCATGTTGTTGCACTCCGTGTGAAATCGGAGCCGAGGCGCGGGCCCGTGCGTGCACGTTGTCGTCTCCCAGTCGACGTTATTTTTATTTTTGTTTATTTTCTTTTTACTCTTAATTATGTGCGTTACTCGTCTTTTGGACAATGGCAGTTCCGGTTAGGTTTCTGGCCACGGTCAGGAGTGGAACCCCTGCGCTACTCTGGATAGGCAGCCCCGCTCGACGCTGCTGTGCGGCGGGCCTGCCTACCCCCGCGGACACAAGGCGCCGTGGGCTCGGGGCCTCAGCGGCCCCAGCACTCGTAATGGTATGCGTGGAGCCGCCGACCTTGTGGATCGAAACGCGCCAATGCCAAATGCGCAACGCACCTGGTGTCAACGCTGCGTGGAAAGGGATGGGACGGGATGGGATCGAATTACCTGAGGAATGTCGTTCCGTCACGGCGCGGTGCTGGCGCGGTGTGGCTCGGCTGGCTTTTGGTTTTGTTTGAGAACAGGTCTGCCGGGCCCTGCGCGGCCCTGTGCGGCTGTGCGCAGCTCGCGCAGCTTCAATAAATACCGGACTGGCCAAAACGATTTGATAGGGTCCGGTTGCGCGTCACTTTAGTTCCACGCAGACTGTCGGTTGTTGACCAAGTAACTTTGTGTAAACGCTCTGTGCTCCTCCTAGTGAGACCCTCACCTCATGGAATGTGTCTTGTGTGTTGCAGAGAGGCGCCCCAGAGAGTCGATCGGCGGCCGTGACGTCACAAAATGGCGGCCCTGACTGAGCCGCGCGAGGAGCGGCGGGGCGGGGCGCGGGGCCTCGGCGGGGCCACACCCGCGGGGCGCGGGGCGGCGGGCGAGCGGCGAGCGAATCCAAGATGGCGCCGCGCCGCTCGCTCTCCCGACGCCACGCTGCGCCACGCCGCGCAACGCCACGCTACTCGTCGCTACGCCCGTGGCGGAGCATCCCTCGTTCCAGCACACTGAGGAGGCCGTACAGTGTCGCGGCACACTGTGTTAGTGTGCGTTTATTTTTCGCGTGTTTCCTTGAAAAAGGGATACAGTTAACGAACGAAATGGCGGCTGCTCCTCCCGGCTATGGTCGTCAGTCGAACTCTTTTTGCGTCAGCAGGCAACAAGCTTTTTAAGCTGCTCCACCAAGTCAATGTGATGAAGGATCTCGGATGTGGGGTTCCCCATGGGCTGCTATACCCCTGCAAACTTTTCTTTTGACTCAGTGTAATATCTTTGTTTTGTTTTGTAATTTGTAAAGATTAATTAAATGAAGTTATATAATTTTATGTTTTGGTTGGTGTCTCAGTAACAAATTCCTGTAAAACAGTCGCCGAATGAAACTGAATTTTACGGCGAATCCTCAGTTACGAGTGGATTTAGCAAACTGTGAACGCGGAAATGTTCGTTGTAGTATAATTTTTAAGCTGCATAAATGAAT